ATCCTAACACCTAAGAATTGGCTTCTAAGTACCATTTCCTTGGGGGAAAGGGGACCAAAGCTCTTGGGGAATTGGTTGGTTTTGGTTTTCAGCCAGAAAATTACAAGAGGGCCTGGGATATTGTGTTCTAGAAAGCAAGTTTTGAATGCTAAAGGAGTCATGTTACAGGATCACAAGTGCCATCTTGAAGAGACTGCTGCTGAGCAAGCATTGAGAATTTGGAACACAAGAAAAGAATAATTGACACACGACAGATTGTAACACAACAGATAAATAGAAATCAGTGGGTTCCTAGAATTGAAAAGAAAAAAATGTTTCTATTTTGTTTTGTTTTGCTTTGTTTTGTTTTGTTTGATAGTGGGGAATTTGTGATGGTTAGAGTGGAGTTTCAACTTGATTAGCTCCAGATCCTCACTGGGGATTGGTAGGGGCACTTCTGGATGTATCTGAGTGGGAGAGAGAGGCTTGGCCTTTGGGTCTACCTCTGGCCCCAACCTTTCCTCTGGCACTGTGCTCCTCCTGCTGTTTCTCAGCTCTCATAAACTAGGCAGCTCTATCCGCCCTTCCACCATGTCTCTGCCTTGAAATCAGCCCACCATGGACTAAACCCCCGAGCAAATTGAACACACACCCCCCACCCCCGCCCAGTGCTGTGTGTGTTGGGTATCGAGTCTCTGTGACGGGAAGCCAGTACAGGATCAAACCAGGACCTTCACCCTCAGCTACATCCCAGCCCCTTTTTTGTTTTTTACCATGAGATAAGATCTGACTGAATTTCCCAGGCTAGGTTCAAATTTGCATCTTTCTTCATCAGAAAAAGAAACTTCTTCTTCATAGGAAAATAGCAGCTAATAAATATAAGTAATGATGAAGTTAGGATGTCACCACTTGCCACCCTGGTTAGTCCAGGCAAGATTTGATGGGTGCTAATGTTCCTAGTAAAGTCCTAAGAAACAAAGATAAAATGGTTATTATCACCCCCATAGGCATGCCACTTAATTGCAGAAAAAAGTCAAATGTACCTGCACACTGAAGAGATTTGGTAGTCAAACTAAGTATCACCAGTGAAGGAATAAGCTAGCATCTTCTCTTTATAAATTGACATAATATGAAATACACAGGTTTATTCTCAAAATATTCTCACCAAGAGGTTTGACCTGAATTCCGTAAGTGTCCAGATGCATTTCTTTCTAAGGGGATTTTGTTTGCTTTTGGGTTTTTTTGTTTTTGATTTGTTTTGTGTCTTTTGGGTAGGATCTTGCTATGTAAGGCAGGCTGGCCTTGAAGTAGGTAGCTCAGACTGGCCTGGAACTCATGGAAATCCTCCTGCCTCAGCCTCCCAAGTGCTGGGATTATAGGCATGCTACCAAACTTGACAAAAAGAACCTATTTTTAAAAAGAAAAGCCAGACTGGTGGTGCATTTCTATAATGCCTGCACTCAGAAGACTGAAACAGGAGAATCACTGTGAGTTTGAGGCCAGCCTGGTCTACATAGTGAGTCCAAGATCAACATGGAATATACAGCAAGACCTGGTCTCAAAAAAATAAAATATTTTGTAAACACAGTTAGCCAGGCATGGTAGCTCACACCTGTAATCCCAGCACTTGGGAGGCTGAGCCAGATGGATTGCTGCAAGTTCAAGGCCAGCCAGGGCTACAAAGTGAGTTCAAGGCCAGACTAAACTGCATAGTGAAATATTGTCTCAAAAAGACAAAAAATTTTTAAAAATAATAAAAAGTAAAACTAATCAGCAAATGTAATGAGCCAAGCCAGATTAGATCTCAAGTTTGGGAAAGAAAACAGCTTTATAAACATCATGCTTAATGCAAATCATAAATTCTGAAATGTAGAATATGAATATGGTATTAGAGATTATTAGTTATTGATTACTGTGTCACACACTGCCCTGAGCTCAGCACCTTAAAACAGCAAGCATCTATCGCTGCAGAGTCTCAGGGTCAGGAGGCTGACTGTGACCGCTGTGTGGGTGTGGGTCACAGTCTCTCCTGAGGGCACGGTCAGCCACAGGCCGGGACACAGTCATCCGGAGGAGGGGACGCAGGGGGTGCCCTTCGCAGCTCACTCACATGGCGGCTTATGGCCTCAGTCCTTGATTCACAGGCCTCATAATAGACAGGCTGAATGTCCCTACCACGTGGAGGCTGGCATGTCATTCATTCCCCAGTGTCACCTCACAGCATGACAGTGGGCTTCCCTCAAGCACAAGTGACTCCAGAGAGACTCAGACAATGCACCCAAAAAGAAGCCACAGTCTATATCCTCAAGGATACCATCCCCTTACCTCTAACATATTCTATTCGCTAATTCCACACTCAAGAGAAGGGAATTAAATTCCACTGCTCAGAGGAGGAGAATCAGAACATGTGTGGGTTTGCACAAGCAGTCAGGAACTAAACATGATATTTCTAACCTATTTTCAGATGGTTCTGCAAATATATGTGTTTGTGCATTTGTGTTTATGTCTGTGCATCTGTGTGCCAGTGTGCATATGTGTGTAGAAAGCACATGGGGAAAAGTGCTAACACAGGGTGCTTCTGAGAAGCTAAAGATGGATGCTCATTATCATAGTCCTTCACTCTCTGTTTATGCTTGAAATTTTTCCTAAGAAAAGGAGAGAAATATAACCGAGAGTTGCTATGGACCAAATCATATTCCTCCAAAACAGCCCTGCTCCCAGCTTGATGGTGTTTGGAGGTGACTGAAGCCGTTAAAGGAGGACATCAGGGAGCTCATGGTGAGATTAGTGCCCTCCTAAAGGAAGACAGCAGAGAACTTGACCTCTCTATCTCTGTCTCTCCCTCCCCACTCCAGTTTTCCCCTCCCCTGCTCCCCCCAGGCATAACAAAAAGATAGCCATCTGTTGGCCAGAAAGAGGACCTTCATCAAAACTCAACCACACCAGCACCTTGATCGTGGCTCTCCAGCCTCCGGAAGGATAAATAACATTGGTCGAAGCCCTGCCGTCTGTGGGACTTGGCTTGGTTTGTTGTGGGGCGCTGAGGACCTTATACATGCTAGGCGAGCACGCTACCACCGAGCAACACCTCTCCCCAAGTCCGCGGTATCCTTAGCACACAGCTAAGACAAGATGTCTACAGAAATGACAGTCTCTGCTCTTTCCTAGAAGCTGAGTGTCAGGGCAAAAAGCCAAAGGAGGACGATTTGTTGCAGGGAACCAGGGGAGAAGTAGAAATCACTATCACTGTGGGTGACTGTCACGACACAGTGATGTCACTGGAGGCAGGGAAGGCCCAGAGAAGACAACTCCTCCTCACACACGCCCACTCCACACCAGCCTCTTGGCTTGGAGACCCCCTGGGCCTCAGCCCCTGGAGGAGCTTCTGGGACCAGCCTCAGTCCTTGATGATCTTGAACCCCATCTCCTTCCCAGGGCCGGGTGTTTTCCTCCTGCAGATTCTTGGTAACTGGTTGTACTAGCTCAGTTTTGCTTTTCGAAGTGGATCATTAGTATTCATCTACTATTAATCCAATAATTATTTTGCCACAAAGCTTAAAAAAATAATTAATGGTTATATGGTATTGAAAATACAGTGTTAATTTTCATGCTCAAATAATTGTAGCTAACTTGAAAATATCAGGCAACTCATTGTATTTTTTAAATAATTTAGAATTATGTTGCTTCTTTTTGTTAATGTCCCTCAAAAATTACATCTATATTCTTTGATCCAGAAAGTCTACTTCTAGAATTTTTTTTTACCTTACAGGATATTGAACCCAGAACCTTTGCACTAAACTACATCCTAAGGTCCACCCTAGCTTTAAAAACAAAATTGAGAAAAGACTGTGCTAAATCATCCATTTGCCCAGGGCTGCGATTTGAGATCCTCCTACCTCAGCCTCCCAGAGCAGGGGACTGTGGGTGGGTGTTCACACGTTCAGCTTAGGGCTTTGTTTTCTATGACTTGAGACACAAGAACAAATGCAGGACATTGCTCATAGTTCCGTTTTGATAGTAGTGTGCACTCTATTGCCATCCATTAAAAATAAATACAAACAATATATACTGTATGTAACAGACAAATCCCTTTTTATGCATACACACACACACATACACAGAATATTTCCAGAAGCTGTACAAGAAACTATAACAAGTTTCCTCTGCAGAGAACCAGGAGACTGAACAGAAGGGTGGGAGAGAAAGTTTTTACTGAACACCTTTTTTTCTTTAATACATTTAGAATTTTCTATCATGGAAATGTATTCTATTTGTTCAAAAAACTAAAACAAATTTTTAAAACGAATTTTACAAGTATCTTTAAATTTAACTGACTGAAGTTAGCTATCTTTACAAATTCTTTACTCTTAAGTATTTTGTATTTTAATTTCCAATTAAAAAACAACCAAGTATGGTAGCATACACCTGTAATCCCAGCATTTTGGAAGGCTAAGGCTAGAAAAATACAAATTTGACCCCAGTCTGACAACTTAGGCCCTGTCTCAAAGTCTAATTTTTTTGTTTTTGTTTATTTGTTTTATTTTTTGTTTTTGAGACAGGGTCTCACTATGCAGGTCAGGCTGGCCTTGAACTCACTATGTAGCCCAAACTGATCGTGAAGCAATTCTCCTGCCTCAGCCTCCTGAGTGCTGAGATGACAGGCTTATGCCACTGCAATAGGCTTCAAAATTACAAATTAAAAAAGAGCTGGGCATGTAGCCCAATGCAAAGGTCTGGGTTCAGTCCCTAGTACAGTGCAAAAGAAAAAAAAAGGAAAAATGATATCTATCCAAAGGCCTTCACCCCACCTGCCCCTCACCCCTCCTGCTGAAAGCAGCCTTTTAGAAACCGTCATCTATATTTCTACTGCATTCCTCCTGGATCTGATTTTCCATTTTTGCTTCTTAAACATGACCCCAGGCATGCATGAGTGCTCTCTCTCTCTCTCTCTCTCTACACACACACACACACACACACACACACACACACACACACACGCTTGCACACTTCACGTGCTGTACCTGGCTCAGCTTCTTCTTCTCTTCAGCCCAGGAGGAAGCTCTCCTCTGCTCTCTGTCGACTTCGGACGCCAGCCTCATGATTGTTTCTCTGTTAGCTTTTGCCTCCATCTCATGGACATTTATAGTCTCTTCAAGACTAGCAATTTGTCCTTTCATGAATGTGTTTTTCCTGCACAGCTCTTGAAGCTGCAGAGAAACCCACCACAGCTGTCTTATAAAAATTAACAACCCCATGTGCTTTCTCTGCACAACTCACTGTCTAGACCCAGAGGCCGCGCCCATACCCAGCCGTGTGTGCACCAAGATCACACTCGTCAGAGGCAGCCTCTTAACTTGGCTATCAGGCGAGGCTGGTGGCAGGTGCACTCAAAGCAGACAGTGGCCCACACCCTGGCTGCTCTGCAGAGGTGGTTGCAGGTGGTGGAGCCACCCTCAGCCCACAGCCAGGCACTTTCTGGCACTCAAGGAGACAGATGGGGTTCCTGTGTTCCTAAAAATGTCCCTCTGATTAATAAGTAAAGAAAGACTCTGCATAAGATGCTCTGACAATGGCTGTCACTGGGCCCCGGATTAGCAGGGTTTTTCTGCCTCCTGTGCCACACATGGAATTGTAAACTGGGAGCATTTGTAAAATTCCGGGTAAGGGGAGTCAAAGCAAGCAGGTCCCTGACATCAGACACTAGCTGCACAGACAGCAGGCTCTCCCTGGAGGCCCACAGTGACGCCTGCAGGAAAACATGGAGACCCATGGGACAAGATCAGCATGTGGTGATGACCTGTGGACGTGACGAGTCGCATAAGCTTCCGCACTCTGCCATCACAGCACCGTTTCCGGCTCGGTGCTGTCCCCTCTCTGCTGATTACTCTTCTTCACCTCAGTATCCTTCAAAAGTCTCCACCTCTGGCGACACTGATTAGTCATCTGCCTGAGCCACACCGCTGATGGCCATTCTCTGTCCCTGTATCCTCACTGATTTTTCTTCATGGCACCTTCTATCTCGTGGAATAATATTCAGTAGTTCTTTGTTAGTCTCCTCACCACCTTTACAACATGACAGTGAAAGCTTTAAAAAAGTTCAGTCCTAGTGCCACACCCAGAATAGTGCCCAGCACACTAGCACTCACCAATAGTGGTGAGACAGATGAGTCAGTACCAAAATGAATTATTAGGAAGGCCTCCTTTTCCATCATGGACACTTCAGGGTATGTGCGTGTGTGTGTGTGTGTGTGTGTGTGTGTGTGTGTGTGTGCGTGTGTTTACAAGCAAGTGTAAAAGTGAAAGAATAACTTTGGGATAGGAGAGATTTTGCTTCTGTAGGCTAAACACTGTATGAGATTGCAGTCTTGATCAAAACACCAGACTTCCTGCTCTGGGGGAGGAATTGTTTTAGTGAGTCTTAAGATAATCAGACCCCCCCCAAAAAGGGGGGGGGGCTGGGGATTTAGCCCAGCGGCATAAGTGCCTGCCTTGCAAGCAGACAGTCGTGAGTTCGATCCCTGGTACCGATAAAAATGAAAAAGATCAAAAAAAGATAATCAGACCACCACAGCCACAGGGGACTAACAGAACCCTGAGCCCTTATGCTGCTCACTAAAAGCATGATCTGTTTTCTTCTGGGACAGTCAAAGACTTCAAAGCTGGTTTTGCTATGAGCCATAGCTCCTCACTTAAGCCTGCAGATGACCAAGCCTGACCTTCCTTTTGAACCTCTGTTACTAGAAATCTGGGGTCAAGTCCGTCTCAATCCAGTATAGCACAATACTGATCACTTAGGGAGCGTCTGCCTAAGAGCTGCCAGACAGGGTTGATTAGCCCTGAATTTACATGATCTCATCTCCCTTTAAGATTGAGGACCTCAAAATAAGACACTGATAGGGCCACTGAGCTACACCCAGAAGCCACCAGCCATTGTCCTAAACCTACAATCACCTGGATTCCAGGGAAGATTCAGCCCTATGTGACTGCATCTACCACAGACCAAGGTAATTCTTTCCCAGAAACAAGCCCATCCCTCTGCCATCAGGATTCCAGAACCATGACACCAGGGTGACATCATGAACAATCAGGGCCTCAGCTTATCTGCTAACCCTCAAAAGCTGTTCTCCGGTCTTTGAAGTGGGCCAGTCTGAACCCTTGTATCAGAGTATGTCCCCTCCAGCCACATCGGCTAGAATACTTCATAACTTTCAATGACACCTCTGTGGGAATTTTGGTTTTGGTTTGGTTGTTTATCTGTTTTTGAGACAGTTCAGGCTGGCCTTGAACTCACTATGTAGCCTCAAATTCACAATGATCCTCTTGCCTCAGTGCTGGGATTACAGGCTTCACCACCGTTTTAGTTTCAATTTTCATGTCTACTAAAGCAAGGACCCACACTAGCAAGAGACAGTTAAAGTCCAGAATCCCACTGTGTGTTTTGAAATTGACAGGACAGGAGCCAACAGGACAGGCCTTGCCCCGCAGGGCCCACTTGGAAAACTCCCAAAGCCACTCTGGAGACAGAGGGAACAGGGAGAAATGGATGAGAGGCTTTATTGTGAATGCCATGGAAGGACCATGCCCACGGCGCTCAGCAGGCCAGCACACTAGGTGGGAAAAGTCTCCTCAACTCTGGAATAGAGAAACTGTCCAGAGCTGTCTGGGATCTGGCCCTGGAGTGGTGGGAAGACAGGGCTCCAGGAGCCTGAGAGCCAGACTGCTGGGTGGCTCCGTCTGCTGACGAAAGCTGTGCTCTGGGAGTGTCCTTTACTGTCTCTGGAACTGGCTATCTCTGGGAGGGCCAAAGATGGCGTAAATATTCAAGTCTTTGTGGATACCCTAATGGATCAGTAGGGGCTAGGTGAACTATTCAGTCCATTTCATTTCAATAAACATGATTAAAATAGGATTTTTACTATTTTGCTTTAATGTAAAATTTTGAAAGTACTTTAGAGCTAATCTTAACCTTATACCCCGTAAGTATAATTGACACATGTCTGGGGAGGAGGGTGTGTGCATGAGTGTGTATGTCTGTAACTAAAAGAGCCCTAAAACATGTCATAAGATGAATGATTAATTACATTTGACAATCTAAATATATTCTAGACAAAACAACTCTTTTTGGAGACTAACTGATGCCAGACTACACCAGGAAGGCTCTTGTAGTCTGGCATTTAGGGTTAGGGTTAGATTTAGATTTAGGGTTGGGGAAGTGATATGATGTGTCCCAGGTCAACTGATTAATGCTCCAGTCGGGCCACTGTGCTGGTCTCCTGCCACCACCAACTCCAGCGCATCCCTCCGTGGCCCTGTCACAATGTCCCTGTGTTTCCAGTCCTGTCAACCCGCAGACAAACACCTTTAGCATGAGATCCTCAGCCGATGCCTTCTGGTCCTTCCGGTCTGGATCCAGGCAGTCCCCGAGCTGAGTCAGAAAGTCCACGTGCTTCCTGCAGCTCTCGGAGACCTGCTTCTTACTCTCCTCGCTTTCCTTTGCACACTTTCTACAAGGCAATTAACAGGTGAGTCGGGGTTTAGCACCACAGCACAGGCTGCTGTCAAAGCAACACAGAACTTAAATGGAGACACAAACTGGGGCCCAGCGCTTTATCCTCGTGGCATCCTGGACCTGGTAACAGGAGGGGAGACACATTCTTTCCCTGTTTTCCTCAGCCTGTTAGATCTGTGCAGGTAGGGGCAGACTTCTGGTCACACAAGGGCCCTTTCTGTGCAGTCACAACCCACATAGCCATGACTCACGTGCAGAAGGAGAATCCCACTCTTTAGTTCTAGCCCCGTTCTCTGTTGAAGCATTACCGAGTGATCTACAAGGGTCCTGGTCCACGGCCAAGCACAACTGGGAGACAACACACAGAAGACGGGGATGCTCCCATCTCCGGCAAAGAGAGGCACTCTGTCGCCAGCCAAAGCCACTGTTAGTCCTCACACACCCAGTGTCTCTAAAGAGTATTGGAACTGACAATCAGGGAAAATCAAGATTTTTTTGGTCTGTTCTAAATACTTTATTTTAAATCTCAGGTTTGTTGGAATACTGGCATCTGCTTTCAATATTTTAAATGTTAAAGATTAAGAGATCATCAAAAAATAGACATAATTTAAAGGCAATTAGAATGATTTCAGTAATTTGGTATCATTGTTTCAATACCCTAGATAATAAACATGATTATTGCTTTCCCTTTTGACCATGTTGAGTGTTTACTGCAAATTTTTTCACTCTGTTCAAAAATTAACAAAGCCCATAATTGCACATACTCACAAGCTTATCATATTTCCCCTTAGCAAAAAGTATAATAATTCTAGTGTGGTGGCCTACATCTGTAATTCCAGCTATGGGGGAGGCTGAGGCAGGAGGATCACAACTTTAAGACCAGCTGAAAAACTTAGCAAGACTGAATCTCAAAATTTAAATTAAAAAGGAGAGGCTGACAATGTAGCTCAGTGGTAGAGTACTTGCTTAGCATGCATGAGGTCCTGGGCTCAAATTCCAATACTTAATTTTTTTAAAAATTATAATAATAAAGAAATAATATTAATACATTTATGATTCCTCATTTTCTCCACAGGAAAAGTCACATTTACTTGGTCTTTTGGGCTCATGAAAGGCACAGTTAATGCTATAACTCTGATTGATTTACATATATGATACCATACTCTACCTCCAAGATTTTACTCTTCCTCCCAAGGTCTCTGCTAAACTGTGTCCACACATGCTTGCATATTACCCAACTCAAAAAAATTACAGGAACCTACCCTAAAGATGTAATCACAGAAGTGTGAAAATGTAAGTGCACCTGGTATTCATGACAACTTGCTTTATAATAAATTTTAACGGATCAAATCTAAGTGTGTATAGGAAACAGCAAAGGAATAGGTTGACCTAATTAAGATATTCCAGAAATGAAATATAATAGGCCATTAAAATTACAAACTGAACATACCTGCAACATATTTTTCAGTAAAAATAGTATACCATATGATGTCATTTGGAGTAAACAATATGAAAATCTGTTCCTAAATGTTCATTATAGCTTTTCTATAATGAGGTTTTGGGTCACTTTAAACTTCCTTTTGATACTTTTTTACATTTAAAAAATTACAGTAAGTATAAGTCATGTTCATTACTCATTTATTGGGCAAAGACTTATTGGGTACCTACTACATAATAGGCCTCATTAATTATGTTAAAGACTTACTGGGTACCTACTATATAATAGGCCTCATTAATTATGTTAGAGAGAGAATAGTAAACCAAACAAATAAAAATCCTTGCCCTCGTGAACTCAAGCTCTAGCTGGAAAGACAAGCATGACAGTCAAGCTCGATCGTTACCTTGATTGGCCTGTGAGACAACGAGGAGATTATTAAAGGAAACTGCTGGTGTGTTTGGTGGCTGTGTCCTTGGGACCACATATGGCCCCTGTCCCTTCCTCTCTGCTCTTCCTCTGCCTCCTCTTCCTAGACGCCATGAGTTGCACAGGCCACGTGCACACCTTTGTGTCCCTCTGCCACCCCGTTCCACCACGATGTCCCTGCCTTGGAACCAGCTGACCATGGTCTGCAACCTCTGAGACCATGAGCCACGATAAACCCTTCCTCCCTAAAGCTGTGAGTACTAGGCATCGTGTCTCGGCCATGGGAAAACTGAGCAGTACGATGGATAGTGCTCAACATGTTAATACATGTAAAACAAGCAGTGTGTTACAAAAGGGCTAAGAAGATTTAACAGAAAAGGGGGGTAAGGAATATTGACAGAAGTAAAACATAGTTAGACATAATTCTCTCTTCAGGACCTCAGTAGGAAGCTGCTTCTAAGTACAGACCTAATGGAATCAGGAAAGCCTGCAATATCTGGGAAGGAGCCTTTCAGGAAGAGAAATGAGTAGGTGCAAAGGCCCTGTGTTTCAAGAAACTGCAAAGAAGCTAGTTATTGGAAATGAAAAAAAATGAGACAGACAAAGCCAGATTAGGATGAACCATTCAGGTCACAGAAAACCCTGTGACCTCAATGAAAGGATCTGATCCGAGATTAACATGATTTAATTTGTTTCTTAACAGGATTGCTCTGGCTGCAGAGGGTACAGATGAAAGCAAGGAAATCACTGCTATGGACTAAATGTTTCTCCCCCACCCCAACTCATATGTTGAAGCCTTAATCTCTGATGTGGCAACATCCATAGTTGGAGCCTTTGAGAGATGATTAGGGCATGAGGGTTGAGGGTTAATGCCCTTTTAGGAAGAGATGTGGAGATAATCTCTCTTCACCAAGGGGAGATAAAACAAAAAACCATGCATCTACACACTAGGATGTGGGTACTTGCCAGGAAACATACTAGCCAGTAGCACCTACGTCTTGGACTGTCCAGCTCCAAACTGTAAGGAATACATTTCTACTGTTTAAACCACTTTATATATATATATATATATAGTAGCCCAAAAAGACCAGGCAAAAATTGGCATTAAAATTTGAAACAAATACTTACGATGACAATCCAGATGAGAGATAATAATGGCAACAAGGCAAAACAGCCAGATTGATTTGAAGATTTAATTTGATTTAATTTGATTTAATTTGAATATATGTATAACTGATTGAACTTTATAACTAGACATGAGTATGAAACAGAAGAGAACCAAGAATCATAGCAAGAGTTCTTACCTGATCAAAAGAATAGGAGAACTATGATTAAATGACATAAGGGAATATATAGGAGGATTTAGTGGGACCACCAGGAGATAAATTTACAATTTGCAATTTGAGATGTTTGCTAAAACTCATTGGAAATGCCCACTAAGCAGTAAGAGTTCTGAGTCTTGAGTTCTGGGCAGAGATCCACACTGGATAATAGAATTGTGAGTGCCATTCCAATCACTCTTAAGGCCATGAGACTAAAGGACACAAAAAGAGAAGAGAGTCTAAGACTGGGCCCTCAGCCGGTCTGTTATTGTTTCAGGCAAGACAGCCCCCAAAGCCTCATGCACTTTCAGATGGGGCTTTTTATGAGGTGGCTGAATCTGGAGTTTGTGACTCTGATCCACCGTTCAATGCTGGGATTAGTGAGGCTGGGAGTGAGAGTGGGTGGACTGCTGGATCAGTCCACTGATTGGATTGGCAGCAGCCTAATCGCAGCAGACTGGATAAGATCAAAGAGGCAGAAAGAGGCTTCTCTCTCCCCCATTGCTTTTGCTGTCTTCTGCTGCCATGAATTGTTGCCTCTCTGCCCTGGAACCAGCCGATGATGAACTGAAACCTACAAACTGTGAGCTGAAAAAATCTTTCCTCCACTAATTTTGGGTGTCAGATGTTTTGTCTCAGCAACGAGAAAAGCAATGAAGACACAGTCCAATAATTGGACGCCAAGGCAATAAGAAAAATGGCAAAATAAACTAGATAAACAGACGTTTCTTTTTTGATATACAAACTAGTCATGTGCCGTGACTTTGAAGCCAACATGAGACAGTGGTCCGAGGAAACAGATCACTGTGACGGATGCCACTGGTGTCAGGTAAAGGAGATTGGCCACATTCCAGGCATTGTGCAACACTGGTGGCCTTAATGAGCTGCCTCCCGGAATCCATAAAAGAGAGACAAGAGAAATAGGAGAGAGGGCTCTCATACACACATTTGAGGAGAGCAGGAGGACGGGCATCAGGAATGTTGGTTTATTGTTTTTAAGATAAGTAAAATAAATATCAGGTACATATGAAAAGAGATGTTGGGGGTTGTTTTGAGACACGGCCCCACTATGCAGTTCAGGCTGCCCTGAGCTCACTTTGTAGCTCAGGCTGGTCTCAGACTCACAACAGTCCTCCTGCCTCAGCCTCCCATCCCAGTGCTGGGATTACAGGCATGCACCACCATGCCCAACTTTAAGAGAGAGATTTAAACCATATGTAGAATTATTAATAGATATCTGAGGAGCTACAGCTCCCATTTTGCCTCCATAATCATCCCTTGTCAGAACAACACGGGCTCCATAGAAAAGCTTGGGCTCCGTGAATTTCTACATCAAATGGCAGTAAAACTGATGGGAAATGTTCAGGGTGCTCTGACTTCCAAGTATTTTATAACTAACTTCAGGATGAATGCGTCCCTCGGTGGGCTACTCAGCCACTTGAGGATTAAACCTCTATTTAAAGGAAATCTTCAAATTATGTATATAATATGCATTTGCAGCCCTAATCCATAGGACATAACCACACTTAGGAGATTCCGTGTGTGGTGAGATGCTTGGCGATGCTGAGGTCAGGGAAAGTTTTCAAGACTTCAAAGATATTTGAGGTCAGTGGGTTTTTTCCCAACTTGATTTTCATGGCCAAATAATGCAAAGCATTCAAAGTATATGCAGAGGCATATCTTACACGCTACAGAAGCTAGAATAACTGCTACATGAGCTGAGAAATATGTTCGTCTCCTTACTGTAATTCCTCTTCCAGTTGTGCAACTTTCCTCATTAATTCTTGGTTTTCCTTGATTGCAGTGTGAGCAGTGATTTCTGTTCTGATTTTAGAAGTTGAAAGTGCTGCCGATTCTTCCTCGAGTTCCTGAACTCTGTCTCTCAGAGAGGTGAGAAGAGATGATTTTCTGGCATTATTTTCTTTGTAGTGCTCCATTTGAGCCTTCAGCTCTTGACAGCAAACTTCTTTGGAAAGCATTTTGGAGTGAAGGTCTCGAAGCTAGCAGGAAGGAAGTGTAAAAAAAGTGGGGGGAAGCAACTTAACAGTGTAATATTTAGAGTATTTTTTTGTACCAGAAATCAAACTCACCATCTTGTGTTGGCCAGACAGGGAGTGTGCCACTGAGCTATATCCCTGGTGCTATTTGGGGTACTTTGAAGAAACTTGAAACCATAATTTAAAATCTCAACTTTTATTCAGGACTCAACCCAACTTTATTTTTCTCTTCTCATATTTGCATGCCTTACCAAATAAGAAATTTTGATCAGGAATATAGCTCCATGGCACAAGCACTTGCCTGATGAGCACAGGGATCCTGAGTTTGAATTCTAATATGAAAAAAAAGGAAATTCTGCCTTAAGAGTGGGCTTCACATTCTGTTTTTTTCAAAGCTAACTGAGCAATGTCTTGGGGTGATTTGGTCTCACTCAGGAAATATTTGTGGTGGATGCTACAAAAAACAATAAAATATTTTGCAATGGTAATGCATTTTCTGTATCAGTATTGCTGCTTATAAACAATAATTCAAGGAAACTAGAAGCCACACTGTCATTTCCTGACCACCACTGGTTCCCAACTAAATACAAAGTATTCAATATATTTCTATATTTCTATAGACCATAATCAAGGGTGAAAAAGAAAAATAATATTCATATTTCTGGGAAAAATAAAGAGCAAAGGAAACATTGTAGCATTTATCCAAAGGAAACATTTTGACTTTTATAAGTTCTGTGGCCAGTTTATCCTTGGGGTCATTGTTCAGCGGGATCCTGCCAACCTCAGAGACTTTCCTGGTTACTTCCCAGGCCAGCCTAGATGTCTGGGACCTCTGAACTGTGGGCAGAGTTGGCGTAGGAAGACTCCAGAGACTTCATTCAGATCTAATGTAGCCAGAGGGAGGTGGACCACAAACACCTTACTACAATCTCCTCAGCCAGCCAGAATTCTCATAAGAAAGAAATTCAGAATTCTCTCCTAACAGCTTCCAACTGCAAGCAGTCTTCCTTAAGGAATGTATTCCCAGAGAAGCTCCAAGTTCCCCAAGCCATGTGGCTTCCACCCAAAGTCCCCAGGAACCCTCAGATCACTCAAGGCCGCAGAACTTCCCTAAAACCTAAAATCCAGGCCAAGACCACTTGCTTTGTAGCGGGAATGTGAGAGGATATGCAACAAAAAGATTAGGATAAACCCACCCAAACTGGGTCCTACCATCCCATTTATAACCCGCTTGACTCTGCTTCACTCCATAAGATGCTACAAAGACCCATTGTCGAGTGGTGAAGATACACAATCTTACCTCAGACTGCGCACATTCAAACTTGACCAAAGTTGCTGCAAGTTCACTTCGAACATTTTCAGCCATGTTCCGGTAGTGATTTAATTGTTCCCGAGTGACTGGGATCTCCAAGGGATGATCACCGATTTCCTGGTAGAGTTCCCCCAAGAGACGAAATGTAAAGAAAATTAAATACACCTTTCTGTGCAGCTGCCCAAAGACTTAGAAGTATTGTGTTTCAAATATGTTGGAATATTTTCTGTTCTCGAACTTCAAAGAGAGCCAGAAGGCAGCCAAGGAGCGATCAATGTGCCTCCTCAAGACAGTGGTGAGATCTGGCAACCTGGCAGCACAGCAAGAGAAAAATAGGGGCTAAAAGCATAGATCAAGGGTTGAGAGCATGAGAGAGACTCTGAATTCAGTCCCCCACACTGAAGAAAAATGAAGGGAAAAGCATGGGAAAGAGAAGAAAGGAAAATTAAGAAGGAAGGGAAAAAGAAAGGAAGGAAGGAGAGAAAGAGATTGATCCTTGCTACCTATAAAATTTCTTAATGTAACTCAAATGCTATCTGACCTCTGCACAGAACCAGAAAGAACAAAGAACTACAATCTATAACTACAAGAACTCTCACCTTTCTGTCTCCAGGCTGCAATGATGATCTATAACTCTCTAGACTCATTTATTCATCAGACAGCAACCGTGAAAGTCTATCCCTATGTAAGTGGCCGGCTTTCAGCTCCACTGTTGGTTGCTAGTGCAAAAATATATGGATCCCAGCAGGGTGTGGTGGTGCACACCTGCTACTCCTGCATTCGGGAGGCTGAAGCAGGAGGAACACTGTGAGTGCAAGATAGCTACATAGTGATTTCAAAGCCAGACTGAATAAATGAACAAAAAGACAGACAGACAAATAAAAGGATTCCAGCCTGGCAAAATCATTCCAGTTTTTCAAGATAAGGCATGATCCAGAATTTTTCCCAGTTTTTGGAGCTTAACAACTAAACATACGAGCAGAATGAACCTACTTGCAGAGCAGATGTGGTATGGGAGGCGAGTCACCACATGTGACCTCCGCTCCCCCCTACAGTGTGCCTGCTGCCCTCTAGAATGATTCCTCAGCCTGGACAGAACCCACACCCACCTCTGTGACAGGTCCAGCTCTGTGGGCGTTGTGAAAGACATATGAGAAAAATATTCACTTTTGAGGGACCGTGAAGGGGTTGCATAAAGGACAATTCCTGAAATACCTCCATGATCTCAAGGGACACAGCAGTAAAACCACAGAGACTACCAGAGACTGCTCAGCTGCCGTCAGATGCCTCGTAAAACACGCAGGCGTGCAAAAGTCATCAGAGAGCCATCAGCCCGACAGCAAGCATTCAGTCCACGAAACACCAAACAAGATCTTCCGGGCACCAAATAACGGCCAGTGTTGTCCAGTCACTCACACACTTCTAAGGTAGAGTGCACTCCAGGGTAGCAGCCTGACAAGTTTAAGCAAGGCGTTTATCACACAGCCGTGTCCTGCTCAGCCCAACTCAGGAGTCAGAAAGGCTTCTCCACCTCACCCACCACTGACACCTTCCCAAGGAGGCCACATAAGGCTGCTGGTCACTTAGGAGCTTTCAACCATCATATTCATGGCCCACCATTTTATAAAACCCAAGAGGCACCTATAATCCTAGCACTTAGGAGGGACCATCACAAGTTCAAGGCCAACCGCAAGTGAGGCCCAATCTCAAAAAAAAGAAAAAGAAAAAACCATGAGGAAAATAAGTTCCCCAAGGATTATATGATTTCTTTTAATCACATCTTTTGGGGAAGTTGAAATTATGTAGTGATACCATTATTTTATATCTGATTGTAATGAAAAATATTGTATGTATTGAATAATTTATTATTAGCCAGACAAGACAGTTGAGAAACATTAAAACTCACTTTATGAAGTTGCAGTCTAATGCAGAACAGTACCAAATCATTAGCATCTTCAAATGTTCATAGTGGATAAAACTGTATTAAATTATAGAACTGGAACGGAGCCCTCGGCTAACATGTGTGAGGTCTTGGGTTTGAGATTCAGTACCACGTGAAATACATAAACAAGGGCAGATATCCTCTGATCCAGCAACTCTCTATCCAATGCCCTTTCTCTGAAAAACACACATGTCCATAGAGAGACTTGCAAGGATACTCACTACCCCATAATTCGTGATAGCAAAAAAAAAAATGATGGGATTATTGGAACAATTTAAATTCTTGCTGACAGAGTATCATAAATAAAGCCATTTCCAACCTATGCAACAGGGAGTATGAGATAGATAATTACGTTGGGGTCCAAGATATATCACTAAATAAAAATAAGAAATTACAGGCCTATCATTCAATACTTTATAAAATACGCACAAGAGGGGAAAGTGTCACTCTACATACAGTATTTCCTGCAAACATAGTTAAAAACAAAAAAGGAAGGTCTGGCGGACTCCACATTACCACATAACATACTTCCCTTGGGTGTAGCAGGAGATGCTGGTATTGAAGCTGAGGTGGAGGAGCACTGGATTAATTTTTCTCAAGAAGGATATATTCATGCATTATCTGTACAATCAAATAGTTTTTTAAAAATATTGCAAAGAATGTTGGCTGTGGTTATCTCTTAGTTACAGGACTAGAGTTTATTTTCTTTATTGTAAATTTGCATATTTCCCAAATTCTTTACAATGACCTTGTATTACTTTCATCATCAGAATAAACATCCTTTCTGAAACTAAAAAAAAAAGACAGGGGGACCAACACAATTAAAAAGCCACCAACCCTGCTATATCGTGTACTTAGGAGGTACACAGTGACAAAAGAAACAACCGTAGGTAACACAGAAAAGCAGCATTTCATGGGGGCAAGTCTTAATTCTGCCCTCCGGGAGTTTGTAACATTTTTTGAAAATTCTTCAACTTTTCCTATACGTATTAAACAGTCTTCACTTCTTTAAAAAAAAATCCTTTTTTCTACTCTCTTCAAAATGGCAAGATAAGAACTCTTTCATTTGTGCTCACATGAGGACAATCTGAGTTATTAGGTACCTCTCAGCCAACCCATGAAGCAATCTTATATTAATTTCAGAGAGCCAACTACATATGATTCGATTCTGCTGCTGATATTATTATGATAATGATTGAAATTGCCTCACAGGGTGGCTCATAGTCTTTTCAGAATAAAGGATGATTTCGAAGTCCAGTAGCATAAAGCAAAGATAAGCTTATTCATAATTTAGTACACAATGTGCCCAATTATCTGACCTGAGTGGACAATGTCTCGGACCAGCCTTGCTACTGCGGTATTTAGTCGTCTCATTATCCCACGGGGGGGGGAAGATGATGAAGACGAAGAAGAAAATCACTGCCTGCCTCTGACATACAAAAGCTTCTAAATCCATTCCGCTCTCATCTCGTCCCATAACTGATCTCCCCTTTGTCCCGGCATTATTCCTGACTGCATGGACCACAACTTCCACTGTGGAATGCTTCCTCTCCCTCCCTCCCTCCTTCCCTCTCTCTTTCTTTTCCTTTCTTTCTTTCTTTGTACACATTTTCAGGGCTGCCCAGTGATCAATCCTCCTGGGGCACTCTCCCCTATCCTCCAATTTCTTTGCCCCAAGTAAAATTTCTTCCTGAACTTGCAGTGAATCCATTACCTCCTGAACTGCGTGTCTCCTGTCTAATCACTCCTCCCACTCTGACTGCTTCTCTTCTCCCTGCTTGGGAGAACTTTCCTGAGCCTCCTGCCTGCCCTTCTTCTTCTCTCTGAACTGTGACTTCATTGATAATATTCTAATTTTTACAGGGCAAGTGGCATACACAGGGTCTGCCAAAAAAAGTGTATATTCACTTCAGGGAAAGGAAAACTTGCATAAATATTTTAATATGAAATTTGTTGAGACATAATGAGATTGATACAAGTTTCCTTTGGCCTCTACAGTTGTAACAGGTACTTGAAGTGGTGGCCTTTAGCTTCTAGACACTTACTATTTTTCTTTTCCTGAAGTGTGTCTGCACCTTTTTGTCAGTTCCTCTATATATCACAAAGTAACCCATATTATGTATAACTTTATACTTTCACATAACAGTTAAGTAATGTATTTAAATTCTTAAGAAGTAATTTTCATATTAAAATTAGTTTCCCGGGGCCAAGAGTCTAGCTCAGTGGCATAAGCGCCTGCCTGGCAAGTGCAAGGCTGTCAGTTAGATCCCTGGTACCAAAAAAGTTAGTTTCTTTATTAAGTAAAACCTAACTGGAGCCAGGCGTGGCAGTACACACCTGCAATCCCAGCATTTGAGAGGCTGAGGCAGGAAGATCGCTGCGAGTTCAAGGCCAGCTTGGGCTACACAGTGAATTCAAGGTCAGCCTGAACTACAAAGTCAGATCCTGTCTTAAAAAAAAAAAACTGGAAACATGTATAGGAGAATAAGTTTAGAGTACTAAAATCCAAAATGTACAATAGATATTATAATAATGAAAGGGAAAGGAAAGAACAACTTGTAGGTGTACACATGGAACTGTATGGATGTTTAAGTATGCAAGATAGATAACCATGCTACTAAGTTTTTGTTAGTACGTGAGCCATTGTCATTGTTGATTGTTCACTTTCTGTGCTTAGCTTTTGTAATTTGAACAACTACTTCTAAAGTAATGATATGTAATATATTAACTAGTGTTGATTTCTTATGTTTTTTGTTTTTTGTTTTTTTTTTTTTTTTTGCAATTCTGTATTATTTCTACCCTTTTTTCTGTTTTGCTTTTTAAAAACAAAAAAAAATTAAAAATAGTCCAAGTCACTGTGGCAGCAGCCTTCTCTTCCTGTCCTACGTGCGGGGGCTGAACTCCGCGGGTTCCTGTTGGTTGTAGAGGGGACGGGAAGCCCTGGACTTCACCCCGGGGTGTCACGAAGGAGCAGCAGCGGACAGTCATGCGCTCTGCACTACGAGGCTGGGCGCACGCTTGCTCTTCTGCAAGGACATTCCAACCACATTTGGGACGGGACATCCACTGCTAGAATAAATGAAATATAAGTAATCACGTAGCCAAAATATGAGATGTGTCTGAGATTTAAAACAAGAAGTCGGTGATTTTGATTTTTTCACCAACTATAAAAAGATCTCCAATCAATAAATGATAAACCAGGAAGGAAAAAGTTTCTAAATAACTTCTGTGCTGCACTAAATCCCTGCTCTCTCTTTCCTGGTGGCCTTGACTCTGTCCAAAAAAAACACTCAGTAAAAATGATGCTGCGTTGTTTCTTATCTCTTCCGTCAGAAAAAACCCGCAGCCTCCAGCATACAAATTCCTAATGTTAACAAAGTCTTTATAGCAGCCCACTTGGAAAATGAGGAAAAAGTGGAAAATGTCGGCAAAATTTAAGCAGAAATTTTACTAAAAAGAGAGAGAAAGACAGAGACAGAGAGATGGAGGGAGGATGAAAGAAAAGAAGTGGAAAGAAAGTCAGGTGTGGCAGCTCACGCCTGTAATCCCAGCACTTGGGAAGCTGAGGCAGGAGGATCAGTGCAGTTCAAGGCCAGCCTGGATCACGTAGTGAGACCTTATCTCAAGGAGCTGGGGATTTAGCTCAGCGGCATAAGTGCCTGGCTTGCAAGCAGACAGGCATGAGTTCAATCCCCTGTAATGATAAAAAGGAAAAAGACAAAAAAAATTAATCAACTGTAATTTTCCTTCCTGTAAGAATTCTTACAAGAGGACAGATAATATGCACAATCAAGTTTTTAAGACTTATTTCCCCCTATTTTGTTCCCAGAATAAGCAAGACTAGAGGTGAACATCAAGCCCTCCCCTGTTGGGTGTAACAAGTGAGTCCTCCACACACTGTTTAAGACAGATGGTGGGCAGCTGCCTTTTAGGAAATGTCCTTTCAAAGACAAGATCTACCATCTTGAAAGATGGTAAGACCAGAGCTCATCTCCCTCCTCCCCAGGACCCGTTTCCTTTCCCCACTCCACTCCTGGACCCCTTCCTATTCCACCTTCCTGTCCCTCTTTCCTATTCCCCTTTTTTGTACCCTCTACCAGCTCTAAGACAGGAGCAGAGGCCACTGTCCAGTGGCAGGTGTCAGAGTCCAGTGGAGGAGATTCCCTATTCTGACATTTGTGATGCAAGTGTCACCCGTCAGTTTTCCTTGGTCAATAGGAAAATCCCAGGTCCACCCTGCTGTTTGGCTACCGTACCATAGCCACCTACACATCCCCTAAGGCACAGGGTACGGGGTACATCTGCATACATGAGGCTGCACGACCCCCTCTCAAGGGATGTCACACACCGCACCTACTCAGTCTCTCACAGTGGAAGCAGAATTATTTGCAGGATTAAGTAAATGGCTAGATGCTCCTTTTACCAATGTCCCAGTGATAGCTCCACATGTGAGTCGCTCCCTGGACTCGCCCCATTCTGCTCTGAGTCTTGAGTCCTGTGCCCTGGGAATGCACGGATCTGGGTCTTGGAAGCCCACAGATGCCTCCGCTCAGCTCCTTTGCCTTCTGCTTCTCCCCAGAAGCACCAGCACATCCCAGAGCTGACAGGGGATGCTCTTCTGTCTCACGGCAGAACCACAAGTGAAAGGCAAATCCTCCCCGCCCCGCTAGTGTTTTCTGTCATCTACACTGTGGGTGAAAGCCCTGAGTTTTTACAGAATGACCTTCACTGCCACCCAGAACTCCAACACTGTTGTTTGCCCAATGCCAAAATAAGGAGAAGAGTAGTGGGCAGCAGGGTGTGGGGGAACAACCTGGGAATCCCACGGTCAAGCCCTGCAGGCCTCTGAGTAACTTAGCAAGACTTTGTGTCAAAATAACAAAAAAGGTTTAAAGGGCTGTGATACAGCTAGTGTGAAGGCCCTGAGATCGATATCCAATACTACAAAGAAGAAGGAAGAAGAAGAAAAGACAGATGAGGGAAAGAAGAGGGCGGGGAGAGGAGGCAGATGGCAATAAGAAAAAAATGAAGAAGAAAAGAAAAATAAAAGCAATAAGAGGGAGCAAATAAGCCCCCCTTGCCAGAGGTGGGCCGCAGTGTGACTCGGCTTCTCCAAGCAGATGCACAGGAAGCACACATGGCCCCAAGCCCGTGAGGAAAAGCGAGCAAGTTGCCTGGACAACAGCAAACTGACCTACTCGCTAAAGAAACTATAGCAAATGTCAGCCCCTATGAGACAGTCCAGTGACATCACGACAAACCCTGGCCCACAAAATGCACTGCTTCAACCAAACAAAAAACGATAGGGTCTGAGTGGACCTTGGACCTTGCTCAGTTCTGGGTCTTTCAGGATAATTTTGGAGTAGGGCATAGAATGAATGAAATGCATAATATTCAGCCAATCCTCTGGCGTATATCACTACATTAGTATAGTAAATATCAGAAACACAGTTTCTGAGACTCCCGTCCAGGAGTGCACCATGCATGACTCGTCACCCACCCTGGCTTCCTGCTGAGACAAGGGAGGTGTCCTGTTAGGTGTCTGTGGAGGCCTCGCCTGCCTAACACTAACCTAGGTCTCACAATTTCTGCAACTGAGCATTTCCAACTGGAACTGAAAACAGTCCGCCATGCTTTATCCAAAAACCTGTGAAGCTGGATACAATGGCTTCCGGCTTCCACACTGTGCCTCTTCCTTCCATCTCTCACAGAGCTGATCCAACCACGTGGCCACCAGAGCAGTCAATTTGCAATGTAGATCAGATCGCTGATGTCACACCTGCAAAAGCTGCCCACCTCCTCAGTCAGCCAGAATCCACACGGCCAGCGTGTCTGCCCCAGTGTCCAGCATGCCCACAGGTCACAAGGAAAAGTGAAATCTGTCCAGACACTGCACGTAGCTTCTGTAACTCTGCTATGCAAGGAACCTCTCCTTCCTCCCCACCGGCCTTCGCACCTGGACGGAAGTCAGGGCCGATTCAGGTGCTGGCCATAGCTTTTTCAGTGACTCCTGGCTAAAATACCCAAAGAAATTTTATTTTTATTCTAATTCTCACTCTTGTCTCAGCTCCACCTTGCTTTATTTATCTATCTTAGTGATATTCTCTGATGATCTAATCAATTAAAAAAAAGAATGCCCCATTCACCTACTTACCAATCAGAGATATTCTGTTACATTTGTTACATTTCTTTATAATATTTTTCAAAGTAGTCTTTGAAATATACATATAAAATACATTTTTTAAAAATATAACTTTAACTTTGTTCCTTCTCTTCTCCATTTGAGGTGAATATTTTCCCAAGTAGTCTTTAAAAATGTCACCAGGGCACAATATCCCACCATGAAGCTACATTTTCATTTGATTCTTCTGTCATCAAGGGATAGTTAAGAGTCTTTTTCCCCTAATATATCAATATTATATATCTGTTAAAGCTTCTGATTGTTTCCTTAGGATTAATTCCAGGAAGAGAGGAAACTAGATAAAAGGAATAAAACATCCAGGGATTTTGTATATAACACAGTACCAAGGTACACGCCCACTGAGGATTGAGTTTCAGTTTTATGACATTAAGGTGCATTGCTTGATCAGTCCCTTCTCAGTATTTCTGTGATCTTTTAATGCTGTCTGTATTCAAATATTTATTATTTGAATACTAACAGTAAATTAGCCTTTCTTTAAGGACTCAAGCTACACAAACACAACTTAAGCACTTTACAAACATCACTGAGTTCCTATAGCAATTCTCATAAAGCAAAGAGAATTCAGTCTTCCCCCAACAACCCTGTATTCAGATCTGAGTAGTCAGAGCCACAAATTAATCTGATCCTTCAACCTGTATTTCCTCCCCGAGGTCTGCAAATGTTTTGATTTTGGTCCTAGGCATGTGAGTTTATGGAACAATTTGAATGTGAATTGATGTACCATAATATACCTGCACTACTGTATCTATTTAAGCATGTTACCAGTACATACAAAAGTATAAACTAAGGTAAGATTAAAATAAATAAAAATAGTCAAACCATAATGGTCCAACCATAATGGTTTGACTATTATCTTCTTTTGAAATCCTGTAAGGTCTCCAGTGTAGGTTTTATTGGTCTTGTTCTGTACTGTTTTGATCAATTCTATTATACCTGATGATATAGGCAACTTTTTTAAAAAATAGCAAGAGGCACAATGGTAAGCATTTTAGATCACCTGATATTCTATTTTGACATCATGTACTATGCCCATCCTTTTGTTCTAACCGACTCTGTTTTGTTTAGCCACGTTAGATTTTATTCTCTCCAAAAAAATAATAAGAATCGTGGGAGTAAAAAACCCAAAGAGTGTAATTGTTATTAAAAACAGAGGAAAGGAAGGTGATCTAAGGGATATAACTGTATGTGTGTTTGAGTGTGTAGGATGGAAATTCATATTACTGAACTTTTGTTGGATATTGATCGGCACTGTCTGCAATCTCATTGTATGAATGTTCACTTTACATGCTTTAATTTTATAATTTGGACAACTATTTCAAAGATGACAATATGTAACCTATTAACTAGTGATATCTTACTGTATTTTTTCCTTGAAATTCTGTATTATTTGTATCCTTTTACTGTTTGGTTTCTTTTTTATTTCCTTTCTTTTTTTCTCTTTAAATAAAAAAATAATAATAAATAAATAAGTAAAAATAAGCCTTTCTTCCTGAAGTGCTCATAAATCATCTTGTGGTCATCCCTCTTACCCACTCAGGCCTTTTACTTTAACTTTTATTCCTGTGTGACTTGAGTGTGAACGCCAGGAGATGCTGTGAACTGACAGCTACCCGGATTAAACACAGATGCCTAGGCTAGAGGAAGCAAATGCACCCTTTAACCCTGGGAGTGACTCTGATGTCACTGCTCACACTGTGCAAGAAAGAAACCTGAGTTCTCCTCCTCCTCTCCTCCTCCTCCTCCCTCAGCTCTAAGCCCCTTCCCTCCTCACCTGCCCCTGACACTGGAGCCTTGAAGTCCTTCGATCAGCTTTCTGCGGGCCTCAATCTAAATCCTGTGTATTCCTTCCCATGGCATCCAACACTAACCCTGCATGTCACCACCTACTGTAACTACTAATTATTCATGTGACTTTGATTCTTTCTATTACCATTTGTGAGGCATAATAAATGTATTCCTCATGGGGAATTTGTACACATGCATGTCATACCTTGGTACTTTTTATTTCCCTTCTATGGAGGACAAACTGAATAACTCTCCTTGAAAAAAGAGTAATTATCTCCATTTTGGCTAAACCTGGCCCTGTTTCCATGTACTGATATGTGCAGAGCTGGCTAGGATTTTTCCTTATCGCTTCAACTGGCTTTAAGTAATACAGGTCAATCTAGTCAGGTGCTGATGTGTACTCTTTGAAGCAAGCCCACAGGTCAGTATTACCCCAAATCCATAGCTCCCAAAAGATTCCTGGGCTCCCCACAACTATAAACATGCTTAGGTGTCTTTATTCTCCCCATGGTTTGCACTGGAAGTGGTAAATTGGAATTAACTCACTAGAATTGCCATAACTTTCCCATAGGACTACAAATAGAAACTTCCCAGACGGCAATGATGAGAGGAAGGCTCTCCACACCCTCCTCCATCTCCCCGTCCCTATCTCCTTCCCAGTCACAAAGTCTGCCTCTCCATTTCCTACCAGCTGTCTTTATTTTCTT